CTGCACTGGATGTTAATTAGAACTCATTAAGTGTGATGTTGTCATAAGAACTTGTATAATTGAGTGTAACATTGCAGTTGTTGTAAAAGTTAGAGTGTTGGAATGGGAATTGGGAAATGCAGGTTTAAGTATCCACTGAGCCATGAAAATCATTGGATGATCTTGGATCAGTCCCTATCTCTACCTGACACAGTTTTATTATGAGTTTAAAGTGGGGCTTTAGTCATGTCATATCCCCCTAATTCTCTGGTGGAAAGTGATGGGGGATATGAACATAATTTGCATTAAACAAATTATACTAAAATGGAAGGCAGGTGGAACTGGAATGCTGTATAACTGAAAGTGAGTACCATCCTATGCTGAAAAATGAACATAATATGAAACATACAGAAAAAGGGGTAGAAGAAATTTTAAGCACCTTCTCTGGAGTCAATGAAGACAGATAGTGTCTTATACAGGAGGGAGTAACGAAAAAGGAAAGCATTCTCTTGCAAGGAACACAAGCAATTTTGCCTAAGGATATTATCATCTTGTCACTATGTACACAGGTCCATGAGTGTACAAAATGGAACCCAGGAATCAAGAAATAATAGTATATAGGTAATTTTCACAAAACACTTCCATACTTTCCATGTGCAAAATATGATCACTCTTCCTGTTGTGCTGGCGAGGATAAAGCAGCATACATATGTCAGGAAGGTCTGCTAAAAACTAAATAATATGGGCCATCAAATCAGAAGTTGACTTATGCCAACACCATGAATTCCATAGGGTTTTCTTAGGCAAGAAATGCTCAGAGATGGTTTTTCCTTCTTCTGAAATATAACCTACAGCACCTGGTATTTGTTGGCAGTCTCTCATCCAAGTGCTAACCAGGATTGACCTCACTTAACTTCCAAGATCAGGTAAGATATGGTGTTTTTAGGGCATTTAGGTCAGGATATCAAACAGGCTATACCTGTTCATATAAGTCAAAGGGGACACAGAGGTTCCTCTGGATTTTCAGAAGGAAATTTCATCTTCAAACCTAAGGCCAATTTGTTTATGACTACAGCAGACTGAGTAAAATTGGCTAACTTTCTGAACTGGGACCCAAATTGAATTTTGTCTTTGGTAAACATAAGCAATACGTCAAGGTAAAGAAAGGAAGAGGGGAAAAGGGACAGTTTATAGCAGATAATAGGAAAAATAAATACATTGTGAGATAGTGGATAATTCTGAATTTTATGAATATCTGGGGCAATGAGTTCAAATGTCACAATGTTATCATAGAACAGTTATTTTTGAATGAGGCAGCAAATGGCAGCAGCAGTCCACACAAATTGAAATGTTGTTTCAAGAAAATCTTAAGGAAAGATGAGGGACAAACATTCAAGAAAGATGGGGTAATACAAACACTTTTAAGAGTAATAAATAAGCATCTTATGTGATTGCATCTCCCACAGTAGAGAAATTCCTAAGTATAGATAGGAGGGAGTTGTTTTAGAAATATTCAACAGGAATACAAAATGCTAGAATATGGTATACAGAATGGAAGAGTGACCTGGTTCTCTGGGATGTTTCTATGATATCCTTTGGCCAGAAGCCCAAATCATCATTCATTTCAGGCAAGACAAATTGGGTTCCAGATTACATCAAAATCATATTACACAAAAGGTCCTGAAATTGATTTGCAGGATTACTCTGTGTGTGTTTATAGACACACATACACATACATCCCACCTTCAAAAACTGTTTTGAGTCAGAAATGTGTACCTTCTTTTTAGATGTTGTACATTCATTATAAGTGATGTCATATTGGAAGAGGCTCTGCCTGCTCTGCTTGAGAGAAGGAGAAAATCTCTCTTTGTGTTTACTGTGCAGTTTTAAAACAAGTTATTAAGTGCCTTCAAGTTGACTTTGACTTATGGCAACCTTGTCATTGTAAGATTTATTCAGTAGAAATTACCATTCTCTTCCCTTATGGTTGAGCTAATGTGACTTGCCCAAGGTCACCCAGTGGCTTTCCATTACTGAGTGGAGATGTGGTCTCCTGGAGTCTTAATCTAATGCTGAAACCACTAGAATGCAGTGACTCTTTAAAAACAAGTAAAATAAAAGAAATGAGTGTTGACTTTGATTGTTGTTCTGTGGCATGAAGCCGATTTCAACTTTTTCTTATCCTATAAGTGACAAATCATTGGGTTTTGAGCCTGTTCACATTGATCATGCTCAGGGTATGGCTTCCTTGATTCAATCATCTGTAATATGTTCATCCTTTTTACTGCTATTCCAGTGAGCTTCTCATGGTATGTCCAAATACTATTTCAGTAACTTTTGATTCTAGTATACATGTTGATTTGTCATTAAGCAACTTGGCCAATAGAGCTTTTCTATTAGCATTCATATCTCTAGCAAGTAGGGTAGAAACCTGTGGAAAGGGAAACATTGCGTGTGCTTTCTGCCAGCAAAGTTGTGGTATGGAATGGGCTCTGTAACATCATCTTGAAATTCCTACTGTCACTGTGTTTTGGTGCCTTTCACACAGGGATAATGTCAGTGAACATTATTGTGTTTGATGGATGATGATATGGTTGCTAAGAACTTTGGTAGTTGCTATAACATTGTATAGGCGAATGCTTCTGCTGCTATTACTATGCTTTCATTATTGCTACTGGGATCAAAAAGATTTTAAAGTAAGGGTATACATTCACGTGTTCTAAATAAATCTAGACTTATGTCCCTTTTTCTTATGTTAATATTATATTTAATATAAAAGACTTGTGATCTTGCACCTAAATTAGTTCTAAATTTTAAGTATTTAGTCATCTTTTTTGAAATGTTTGTAGAGTGTTTATAAACCTAAGCATATTGTTTATAATGAATGTTTACATAATTTGTGAGTGCCTTAAGTATAAACAATTTTACTGTCTGCTAATGTGAGATTTTGTGTTTTCACAAAAGCTTCTATCCTACTGAAGTGTTGGAACAACTGTTGGAGAAATGTAAACAGTTGCTGGAAAATCACAAGCATAAGAGTTTGCATTAATTGTATTAATTAGAATTGGTAGGAAAGATAGTTTTCTCAAGTTTTGAGCCGTGATTTAATTTGCATACTGTTTAGTCAACATAGGAGCTGTACATTTTTTTTTTTTTTTGCTGAAGTGCATGATAACTACTCAAGGGTGTTTTCTAATAACGATTTTCTGGCTTCATAATTGTTTTTCTGCAAGCTCAAATACACTTTCTAAAAATATGTGGCTGACATGGAAACAGATTTATGTATTCCAAACTAGCCCATAAATAGCTAGAGAAAGTTTGAATGCAACTTCTGAAACCTTAATATGCTTTTTTACGTTAGTCCTGCTTTACCATAGTCGAACAGATTATGCTGTAAAATGTAAAGAAACATATACCTATTAATTTGACAAACCCCAATGATAATTCACCTGATTTTTGCTTTAGCATATGAATGGTTAGTTAAAATATCAGTACTATCCTGTCCTTTCCCTGCCTCCCAGTCCCCCCACAAGTGGGAAAACCAGTATGCCAATAATTGTGCCCAAAAATGCCAGACATGTAATGCTTGGGAATGGTATTGCCAAGCTAAAATCAGAAAACTATGTATAGGTACCTCTCAGTTAATGAAGTAGATATATCCCTGGTTAGACATTGAATCAAAAAGAAGAGCTGTGCAACATGTTTTAACAGATTTTTAAAATCCAAAACTGACAATATGCACATGTGAAATCAAATAACCAGATCAAGCAGCCTTGCAAAAGTGGATATAAAACATTTTGAACTTTCTGGAGTTCAGTGCAAAGTTTCTTTCAAAACATATGTAGAGATGACTTTTTCTTTTATTAGTCATCCGCTTTCACTATATTTCCATTTTTATTTGTCCAGAGACATACAGATCTGCCAGTGAGGCAGGCTTGTCTTCGCTCTCATTTTCATTTTTTTGCTGTTTGTTTGTGCTTGGCAATCAATCCTGGAAGTAGCTGCTGTTTACTTTGGTTGTTGTAGGTTGGCACACATGGCTATAGTAGGATAGGATAAAGTCCTGCTCTTTGTGGACCATACTTTTATTGCATTTTTACTACAAACACACTACTGCAGTTGAACATGGAGTGTCTATGCATTTCCAGTCTTCACTATCATCCCAATGTCAACGTTGCTAAAATACTAGATAGAGAACAAGGACAACCAACTAGGTTACTTTAAAAATACTTAGTTCAAAGAAGTTTCTTTGCCACATGCCTTGTTAAATACAGTATGCTAATACATGTAATTAACAGAAGTCGGAGTAAATTTTGTATAAGAATCTGGAATGCATACCTTCACAGTGTTTTCTTATTATATTGAAAAAATAATAATTTGGTAATGTCAGTGGTTGGATATTTTAATTTAGGTAGGAGTAAAACATGTGTTCTGTGAAAAATAATGCAACATGTAATTAATTGTTGCTTGGGGTAAGGTTTATAGTTCTGTATTCTATTCATAACGTTCCAAGGCATAAAACTGTTAGCCTGAACTTGAGTAAATAATTCAATCAATGTAATTTATGTAATATTAATGGAAACGTTTTCTTTGATTGAACGAGTCTATCTAATTAGGAGTAACAATTGGACTTCAACTCAAATATTTTAAGTGTTGGCAAATTTAAAAAATGATGGAAATGTCTGACTCAATGTATTAAGCTTATAACAACTTCTCTCAGGACTGTAAATGGAGACATGCCTGACTTTTAATCTGGTTACATTTCACCTGGTTGTACCCTTCTTATGTCTTGAGTAGTCAGGCATGAGATAAAAGGAATGATTAGATCAGTGCAACACTATTGAAATGGAATAGATTTTCAGGTCAGGAATAGTCTCTTTGTAATAATAATGTATTGATTGTGCTACAAATATTGGCCATGTCATAATAAAGACATAATGAATCTGAGGAATAACAAAATCTGCAGCATCTGTGTAAACAATATAAGAGTAGTTACTCATGTTAAAATGTTTTCTTCACAGATAGCTTACTGATTGATTATCAGTTTACCTTCAGTTTATTACAAGAAGATGATCGCTATCACACTGCCATCAATTTCATTGCAAGTCCTGAACAGGTAAGTTGTTCCAAGCAGTTACAAGTAACTACAGCACCACACCTTGAAACATGGATTTATCTATGGATTTAGTTGTGAAAGCATAACTCCACAAATCTTAGATTTCCTTAATAAAGTCAAACATTTTGAATATTTATTGTGGAACTCTTGATATTCAAGACTAGGTTTTTGTTTTACAGAATCATGTAGCCTAATGAGTTGCTCCATATCTTAATTCTGCAGGGTAATTAAATTAGTCTACAGTAGTCCTGTTAGATCCTACTTGAAGAAGTGACCAAAATTTAAAAAAATAGAAAGATATTTGGTCTATTAACTTCCTTGGATATTTCCCACAGAAATTTCGGATAGTTTATGGATTAGATTATGGTATGAAAAGGTAATTCCTATTCTAAAAAACCAAACCATACTTGTACTTGTGATAGGGTGGGAAAGTTAAAAAATGATGCATTTGGTTCTTGCAAAGTCTTATATACTATTGTGTGTTACTCATTTATTTATTTATTTATTTATTTATTTATTTATTTATTATATTTCCCTTCTCACCCCAAAAGGGACTCAGAGCAGCTTTCAAGTAGGCAAGAATTCAATACCGCATAAAGCAGGTATACAAATAAAATAAACATATGCATTAAAAGCCATTAAATGAAAAACATCTAAACATTAAAGCCAATGATTAAAACAACACAGTCCAAAATAAACTTTTATCAACTTTTATCCAGTTAATTATTCCTGCTATTATTAGAGTTGACATCCCGATCTTAAATATCGAGGGGGGGGGGGGAGATAGAAAACAATTTGAGATTCTCCAGATGTTGTTTGACTGCACCTTCCATCAGTTCTGGTTAGCATGAGCTGTAATGAGGAGTGACAGAATTTGCAGTCTAGGGATTTCTGGATGAGCACAATTGCTCATCTCTGTTCTGAGGCAGTTCTTCTCAGATTATGTGGTGTGGACTGGCTATTTCTTTTTTAGTCAGCAGGAGCTGCAAGGCTGAGAAAGGTTTGAATCGTAATAGCAGCAGCAGTAATTTCAATAAAATTTAAAAAATATGAGTAAAATACATCACACAGTTTCTGATTCCATCCAGATAAACTTCCTTCTAACTCTCAGTGTGTCCAGTGAAATCAGTCTTGATGCATATATTATAAAAATGTTATATCAGTAGGTCATACGGTTGTTACTGAACCAGAGTCCTAGGTATTTGGCTAAGATCAAGTGTGTGTAGTATGTAGGTCATATGTTCAAAGAAGTAAATGTAAGAATGGCTGGGACCCAGAGTTTTTAAAAAGTACGGTAATACTTTGGAGGACTGCAATTTCCACAATCCAATAATTCTAGGTGTTCCCAATCATATTTTCTGAAAACTAGAAAAAAAATTCTAAGGAAGGGTCTGGGAGGTAGCCATAGGGTATGTATACCTAACTCTGCCCCTGCTGAGTATGTGGGCAGGGATGACTTACACATTTACTTTCTTATAGCTGACTGGGCTGAACATCTTGTGAGTATTAAGGGACTGATATTAGATATCAGTGGGGTGCACTTTGATAGTGAAAGAAAAGTTCTTATTCCCAGATCTGTAAAATCTGTAGAAAAATAGTGGAAGAGAAGCGGTGTCACTGAATACCTGAATACAAGGGAGTAAGCTATGTCTTACTTTTAGGAATTCCCTACCTCAGTACAGTATAGCTTAACCCTTTAGGTCCACATTTTCACCGACAACATTATAGTTTACAGATCCAAACACAATGTCTTTCCCTTCACTATCAGAAAGTATGGCATTGATATGTTGTTTCTCTCATAGAAAATTTGCACAGAGGCAGAAATTACATTGAAATAATAGCTATATTTTTTAGCACATTTCAATATTTTTATAAACCAACAATATGCACATGTGAAAGAAAAATATCAGATCAGGTAAGCTTTACATAAAACAGTCTCAACCTTCGACTCCACTTTGAAGGCTTCTTTCAAAATGAAGAAATGTCTGCCTTTGGAACTTGTTTGGGTTTCTTGTGAATCCCTTCCTATATTTATATGTCTCCCTCACCTCCTTCTACAAATAACCTTACAATGTTATGAGTACAGATGCCATTGGTTTGATTATAACTAATACACAAATGAATGAGTGAATGTGTGTGGATTTTAGGCCTGCTTTACCAAAAAAGGCTTTTATCTCCAGCTAGAATAAAAGAGGGAGTCCTGAGTCCAAGCAGGCAGGATGTATTCACTTCTAGTAGGCTTGTTTATTGCAAAGTTGTTGAGGGTAGGTGAGAGGAGATAGCCCCTTGGTCTATCTACGTCTGCCACAAACGGTGATGCTGATCTGGCCCTAGTAGTGACCACTGACAAAAAACTGATGTGACGATGTGTAAATTTTATTCCTTTGGTTATGTGTAGTTTGGACAGTGGTTTAGGGATGGTAAGTAT